GACACACAAGACTAGAGCGCCCCCTTGTGGCTGTCAGTGTGAACATTTTAATATATAAGTCGCACCAGAGTATAAGTTGCAGGAAACACCAAAACAATGAAAAAAGTATGACTTATAGTTCGAAAAATACAGTAGTTTTAATATTGATTAGTATTAGTTTCCGAACTTGCACGGGCAGCCGCTCAGAGTCAAACACAGTGGCTCCTCTGGCTCTGAACTTCCAAACACTACATCACCACTCACCTCCTCAGTAATGCTCTCCCTCCACTCCACACACAAACTGCTAACCTTCCGAGCTTCAAAACGTGGAATTAAACTGTTCTGGCAGATATTTCGACAACAATAAATACCCCACGGCGCCGGCTCCCTGATGTCTTCCTCCTTTTTCACATATGTAAAGCAGTTTCATCATTAAACTGCCGCTTCTCTCTGACCAGGACAAAGGAGATCCTGCCTCAGTAGGTTGGATAGGATTTAATTTCCAATACAAAGGGATTGGAAAAAGCTCGGAGGCAAAGGGAATATGTCCGACCTCAGCAAAACGGGGCCTTCAGAAGATTTGGATGAGCTCTTCTCAAAAGCCAAAGAAAAGGATGGGAGAAAGACGGGAATTTAAGCTCCTAAGAGGAGAGTGGAGAGATGGGCAGTAGATACAGACTAGTTACTGTATTGTATAGTGGGGTCTATCAAATATGAGGCAGAAATATAGGCTCTATTCACTAAGAACTTGTGTCATGCTATATTAATATTTCACCGTGACATCACTCTGGGGGGTTCTACATGTATGTCTATGGTGGGATACTCATTTACTGTGGTGACAAAATGTACGCATGAGCAAACAAAGTCAAAATAGTTTCAAGATCTGTTTGAAAACTCAAGAAAAATACAAAGTGAATTCAGGCTACGTTTATATGATGACGGCCTAAACAAAGAATACAAAAGTCGCGTCTTCACTTTTTATTCTGCGTTTAGGCGAGATCTGCATGCATACAGTGACACAAAAGTGTGTGGCATTTGATTGGGTATGGATGTGTTTAAAGCAACAAGAGCATCTTTGGACATACAGAAGTTTTCACACCACACATTTTCATCAGCTACTCCTTCCACAAAGTTGTTCCACCATCAACTGGTTCTCCAAGTCTCGTCCATATCCGTCTGATATACGACAGTGTTTTCCAACCCTTTTTCCTGGGAACCCATATTTTAAAAGTCACAAATCTTTTCAACTCAAGTCAATAGACATTATCTGTAAATCACAAAATAAATTTGTGATCATTATTGAACATTAATGAGGATATTTTATTGTTGACTGAGTGATCGTGTCTCTGAACAATTAGTATTACTCAAGTTTTAAACAATGAAAAATGGTAATCAGTGTTTCCCACACAAAAGTGGTTAGGTAAGGCGGTGGCACAGAGAAGAAGTGTGTGTGTGTGTGTGTGTGTGTGTGTGTGTGTGGGGGGGGTACGCGGAAAAGATGTATGTATATGTATATCACAGACCTACATGCAGATCGTGATCGTGACCAGGTGACCCAAAAAAAAATCTCTTGCGACTATATATATATATATATATATATATATATATATATATATATATATATATATATATATATATATACACATACACATAAAACACTACAACTTCAGAAACCTGATGCAATGTGCAGTAGTTTGATTTGCAGGATGCACACTGATTGTTAGTGCTCTGAAAGGGGAGTGACTTAGCTTAAGCCAGTGCGATTTTTGGCCCTTTTTGAGCCAATTTTTCATGTGTGTGACTGTTTTTGGGATCGGGCCGAAGTTTGTTTTAATCATGTGTCGTACTTCATGTAGTAAACATGGGGCCATGAGAACTGATTAAAACCTCACGACCAGCTCCCGATCAGCAATCAAAGGACATAAGAATATCAGACCTGTTTGAAATCCTGTCACCTCTTAGTTCATACAGAGTGAGAACATGAATCATGAGCTGTGGAGTTTGAAACCGTGTGATCTGGTCATACAGATTGAACTGGGGCTGAGTGAAACCATCAGCATTACTAATGACACATGATCTAAACATGTTATGTGTTACAGTTAGTAGTTCATAGAAGTGTAATCCCCCCTCTAGAATACTGCAAACTATATATACCTTATCCTATCAGCAACAACAAATGCAGCCTTGTGTTGTGTCCTTGGGCAAGACACTTCCATCACTTTGTTCTGAAGTGGGATGGTATTGAATTTGAAGTGTCACATTGTCATAGCCACACGTGTACATTTATGTGAGAGCGTCTCGCTCCGCATTCGTCTGGCAGACATATTGTATGGCCCACTGGCTGTGCTCTGTGCTATAGGCCCTGTCTCGCCTCAGCCTGACAGGTGATTGACAGGTGCACAGATGACAGGCGCAGCAGGCTGCAGGGACACAGCTGTGTGTAGTAAACACAGAGACGAGCTGTAGGGCGACCAACACTGCAGACAGAGGGGAGGGAGAGAGAGAGAGAGAGAGAGAGAGGGATGAAGAGAGACAACAGAGAGGGAGAAAGAATGTGAAGAGGGAGAGTAGAGAGGGAGAAAGAGAGAGAAAAAGAAAAAGAGAGTAGAGAGTGAGAAAACGAGAGAAAGAGTAGAGAGAGAGCAGACAGAGAAAGAAAGAAGGAGTAGAGAGGGAGAGAGAGAGAGAGCAAAGAGAAAGAGAGTACAGAGAGTGAAAAGAGAGAGTGAGTAGACAGGGAGAAAGAGAAAGAAAGAGCAGAGGGGAGAAAGCGAGACATTAGAAAGGGAGAAAGAAGGATGGAAGAGAGAGAGAGTAGATAGGCAATAAGAGATAGAGCGAAAGAGAGAAGAGCGGGAGAAAGAGAGAGTGAGTAGAGAGGGAGAAAGAGAAAGTGAGGAGAGAGGGAGAAAGAGACAACAGAGGGAGAAAGAGAGAGAAAGAGAGAGTAGACTTGGAGAAAGAGAGAGAGAGAGTAGAGAGGGAAAAAGAGAGAAAGAGAAGGAGTACAGAGGGAGAAAGAGAGAGAAATAATAGAGAGGGAGAAAGAGTACAGAGGGAAAAAGAGAGAGAGCGAAAGAGAATAGAGTGGGAAAAGAGACAATAGAGAGGGAGAAAGAAGGACGGAAAAGAGGGACAGTAGAGAGGGAGAAAGAGAGAGAAAAAGAAAGTAGAGAGGGAAGAGAGAAAGAGAGAGGGAGTGCAGAGGGAGAAAGAGTAGAGAGAGACAATAGAAAGGGGGAAAGAAAGATGGGAAGAGGGAGAGTAGAAAGGGAAAGAAAGAGAAAGAATAGAGAGGGAGAAAGAGAGAGTGAGTAGAGAGGGAGAAAGAGACAATAGAGAGGGAGAAAGAAGGATGGAAAGAGGGACAGTAGAGAGGGAGAAAGAGAGAAAAAGAAAAAGAGAGTAGAGAGGGAGGAAGAGAGAGTGAGTAGAGAGGGAGAAAGAGACAATAGAGAGGGAGAAAGAAGGATGGAAAGAGGGACAGTAGAGAGGGAGAAAGAGAGAAAAAGGAAAAGAGAGTAGAGAGGGAGGAAGAGAGAGAGAGCAAAAGAGAGAGAGTAGAGAGGGAGAAAGAAGGATGGAAGAGAGAGAGAGTAGAAAGGGAGAAAGAGAGATAAAAAGAAAAAGAGCAGAGAAGGAGAAAGGGAGAAAAATAATAGAGGGAGAAAAAGAGAGTAGAGAGGGAAAAGAGAGACAACAGAGAGGGAGAAAGAAGGAGAGGAAGAGGGATAGTAGAGAGGGAGAAAGAGAGATAGAGCAGAAGAGAGAAAGAGTAGAAAGGGAGAAAGAGAGAGAGAGAGGAAGGAAGAGAGAGTAGAGAACGAGAGAACAGAGAGGGAGAAAGAGAAAGTGGAGAGAGAGTTTAGCATAGAGAAGAAGAAAGACAGAGAGTAAAG